AGCACACCCGATAGCCCCTCCCCTCTCGCCTCCCCTACACCTCCACCCTCGCCCTGCTCTTGGCCTCTGCCTCTGCCTCTGCCTCTGCCTCCGCAGTAGTCGGCAGGGAAAGCAGCAGAGGAAGTGGTGCAGCAGCCAGCACAGCACACCCCGGTGACATGCCAGCAAAGTGCGTGAAGGCACAGCGGCAGTGTGGCACATGGGGCACGTGGGGCACATGGGGCACATGGGGCACATGGGGCACATGGGGCACACGGGGCACATGGGGCACATGGGGCACATGGGGAACATGGGGCACATGGGGCACAGGGGGCACATGGGGCACATGGGGCACACGGGGCACATGGGGCACATGGGGCACGTGGGGCACATGGGGCACATGGGGCACGTGGGGCACATGGGGCACATGGGGCACATGGGGCATGGGGCACATGGGGCACAGGGGGCACATGGGGCACGTGGGGCACATGGGGCACACGGGGCACATGGGGCACATGGGGCACGTGGGGCACATGGGGCACATGGGGCACATGGGGCACGTGGTGCACATGGGGCACACGGGGCACATGGGGCACATGGGGCACATGCGGCACATGGGGCACGTGCGGCACACGGGGCACATGGGGCACATGGGGCACATGGGGCACATGGGGCACATGGGGCACATGGGGCACGTGGGGCACGTGGTGCACATGGGGCACATGGGGCACATGGGGCACATGGGGCACATGGGGCACATGGGGCACGTGGGGCACATGGGGCACATGGGGCACATGGGGCATGGGGCACATGGGGCACAGGGGGCACATGGGGCACGTGGGGCACATGGGGCACACGGGGCACATGGGGCACATGGGGCTTAGTGGGAATATACGCTCAAACCCTAAAGCGTTTAGCGTATACACGCTAGCGTGTGTACGCAAAACGCTATACGCTAGCTAATACGCTATACGCTATCAGAAATATTTTCGGGCTGCCCAGGGAAAAAAATCGCTTGTGTACAGAAAGATGCGGAATCTTCTGCTGAGCATTTCGCCTAAGTCGAAATGCAATTTGACGGTCTAGGGAAGCGGGAGTGGGCCTTCGAAGTTGCAGGCAGTTCAAATTTGAACATTAGATTGGTACCGCATTGGAACCCATATTATCTACGAATTCCAACCTGTCAAAAACGTGCCCCACCAAACCCCACTCACGCTACTTACCAGCCAGCAAAATTCCAGTCGTCATTTCTAGTTGGCATTCCCACTTTCTAACAGCAGAGCTCCTTCCGATTCCTACCTACTTCTCCTTTTAGTGTCTACTCCACGTCCCACCCCAATCGCCGTTCAGACTTAGGGAAATGCTACGAAAGTCTTAATGAGAATAGGGATCACCTTCTTAATCTTGAGCACGACGTCTTTTTCACCCTGCCCGAGATAGTTTTTTACCTGCCCGAAAAAGCGTATTACCAAATCGACCCTTAAGCGTTTAGCGTATATACGTTAGCGTATATACGATACGCGTATATACGCTATAAGCGTATATTCCCACTAAGACATGGGGCACGTGGGGCACATGGGGCACATGGGGCACATGGGGCATGGGGCACATGGGGCACAGGGGGCACATGGGGCACATGGGGCACATGGGGCACACGGGGCACATGGGGCACATGGGGCACATGGGGCACATGGGGCACACGGGGCACATGGGGCACATGGGGCACGTGGGGCACATGGGGCACATGGGGCACATGGGGCACATGGGGCACACGGGGCACATGGGGCACGTGGGGCACATGGGGCACATGGGGCACACGGGGCACATGGGGCACATGGGGCACATGCGGCACGCACATGGGGCACATGGGGCACATGGGGCACATGGGGCACATGGGGCACGTGGGGCACATGGGGCACATGGGGCACATGGGGCACATGCGGCACGCACATGGGGCACATGGGGCACATGGGGCACATGGGGCACGTTGGGCACGGCACGTGGGGCACATGGGGCACATGGGGCACATGGGGCACATGGGGCGCGTGGGGCACGTGGGGCACATGGGGCACATGGGGCACATGGGGCACATGGGGCACATGGGGCACATGGGGCACGTGGGGCACATGGGGCACATGGGGCAGCGGGGGGCACACGGTGCACATGGGGCACATGGGGCACATGGAGCACGTGGGGCACATGGGGCACATGGGGCACGTGGGGCACATGGGGCACATGGGGCACGTGGGGCACATGGGGCACATGGGGCACGTGGGGCACATGGGGCAGCGGGAAGTTGTTACACTTAGAGCAGGGCAGTCGCTGTAGGGCGTCATGGCGCGATACACGCACCAGAAGCACAACATGTGGCCGCACGCTGAATGGGGGCGGGGGAGTCGGAGAAGGGAGGGGGAAGAGGAGAGGGACAAGGGAGAGGAGAGGGAAGAGGTAGTGGCGCATAAGTGTGGTCTGGACCAGGGACACGTGTGCCCCCATAACATGGCATGGCATGGCATGGCATGGCATGGCATGGCATGGCATGGCATGGCATGGCATGGCATGGCATGGCATGGCATGGCATGGCATGGCATGGCATGGCATGGCATGGCATGGCATGGCATGGCATGGCATGGCATGGCATGGCATGGCATGGCATGGCATGGCATGGCATGGCATGGCATGGCATGGCATGGCATGGCATGGCATGGCATGGCATGGCATGGCATGGCATGGCATGGCATGGCATGGCATGGCATGGCATGGCATGGCATGGCATGGCATGGCATGGCATGGCATGGCATGGCATGGCATGGCATGGCATGGCATGGCATGGCATGGCATGGCATGGCATGGCATGGCATGGCATGGCATGGTATGCTTCCACGCGCAAGGTGAGGCCTCTGTACTGCGTGGCTACTCTCAAAGACGAGTTTCATGGCGCGATGACTCTGCTGTACGGCACCACCACTCTGTACCACACTGTGCCGTGATCAAGCGTCACCGTGGCCTTCTGAACCACACTGAACCGGACAGAACAGTCGCTCTAGCTCTTGCTGATTCGTATATTTTCATGGCAAAGAGCTCTGAGGCCACTGCTGCTGAGTTTCCGAGGCGCCTCAAAAAGAACTCATTCCGGGGGCCACTGTTGCCTAGAGTGTTTCCAACAACACTTAGAATGTCGAGGGGGGTTTCCTATCCTAGCTGGCACGAGCCAGGCTAAGGCTGCCTGCCTGACACACGGTGGTTGGCCAATGCGGCCGCCAGGCAGTAGAGAAGGCGAGGGCAGCATGTGCTTGCGCTGCACGGGAGCGCAAGCGAGCGGGAGTGATGCAGTCCGCTGCACGCAGAAGAGAAGGGAGCAGGGAGGAGGGAGCAGGGATGAGGGAGGACGGAGGAGGGAGCAGCAAGGAGGGAGCAAGGAGGAGGGAGCCGGGAGGAAGGAACAGCAACAGTTGCGCGAGTAGGGAGTTGTGAGTTGACAATGAGGACAACTTGAACATCCCACCGACCCAGGATGATGCAAAGAGGACAGGCAAGGGTGGTTGAATATCAGCACGGCATGGGATTCACGACACCCGCCTTTTTTGAGTCAGTCAATCCGACTTTTTCCCGCACAGTCGTTTCTGATCGTTGAGAAAATGGCGCCGGAAGCGCTCCGTCAAGGTCGGGTTTTAGGATGATACGTCGGAATCACACAGTTGACGGCAGAAACGCACCGTTATGGGTCCTGGGTCTCACAGGCGGGTTCAACCGCAGCGAAATCAGCCGTGCATCGTGGCTGCAGGTGTGTGTTTCACTGTGCCTCTGCCTCTGCCTCTGCCTCTGCCTCTGCCTCTGCCTCTGCCTCTGCCTCTGCCTCTGCCTCTGCCTCTGCCTCTGCCTCTGCCTCTGCCTCTGCCTCTGCCTCTGCCTCTGCCTCTGCCTCTGCCTCTGCCTCTGCCTCTGCCTCTGCCTCTGCCTCTGCCTCTGCCTCTGCCTCTGCCTCTGCCTCTGCCTCTGCCTCTGCCTCTGCCTCTGCCTCTGCCTCTGCCTCTGCCTCTGCCTCTGCCGCTGCCGCTGCCGCTGCCGCTGCCTCTGCCTCTGCCTCTGCCTCTGCCTCTGCCTCTGCCTCTGCCTCTGCCTCTGCCTCTGCCTCTGCCTCTGCCTCTGCCTCTGCCTCTGCCTCTGCCTCTGCCTCTGCCTCTGCCTCTGCCTCTGCCTCTGCCTCTGCCTCTGCCTCTGCCTCTGCCTCTGCCTCTGCCTCTGCCTCTGCCTCTGCCTCTGCCTCTGCCTCTGCCGCTGCCGCTGCCGCTGCCTCTGCCTCTGCCTCTGCCTCTGCCTCTGCCTCTGCCTCTGCCTCTGCCTCTGCCTCTGCCTCTGCCTCAGCCTCTGCCTCTGCCTCTGCCTCTGCCTCTGCCTCTGCCTCTGCCTCTGCCTCTGCCTCTGCCGCTGCCGCTGCCGCTGCCTCTGCCTCTGCCTCTGCCTCTGCCTCTGCCTCTGCCTCTGCCTCTGCCTCTGCCTCTGCCTCTGCCTCTGCCTCTGCCTCTGCCTCTGCCTCTGCCTCTGCCTCTGCCTCTGCCTCTGCCTCTGCCTCTGCCTCTGCCTCTGCCTCTGCCTCTGCCTCTGCCTCTGCCTCTGCCGCAAGCAGCGGGGGCGAGGAGGGCGAGAAGGTCCCCATGGCGCGCCCCTCCTGCGCTGCACCACCATTCCCCCGCACTACCAGCTCCACACCATCTGAGGAGGGAAGGTGCCCACGGCCCTCCCCTCCTCCAACACATCACATCCCTGTGCCGCGTGCGGTACTCGGCGAGGAAGGTGGAGAGATGGTGGAGAAGTGGGGGATGGAAGAGTACTCGGCGGTACTCGGCGGTACTCGGCGAAAAAGGTCCCCGTAGCCTTCTCCTGTAGAAGGGGAAGTGGTGCAGTGGGCAACAAGCACACCCGATAGCCCCTCCCCTCTCGCCTCCCCTACACCTCCACACTTGCTCTCCTGGCGAGCTGCACCACCACCAACTCCCCCTGGCGCCGAGTCAGCGTCAAGCATGGAAGGCAAGAAGGGCGTCAAGGTGCCCCATGGCCCTCTCCTCTCCTCCTCCTCCTGTAGCACGTCCCTCTCTGGCGCGCTGCACCACCACCACTTCCCCCCGGCGCCGTGCCAGCGTCATGCACAGAGGGCACGAGGGGCGAGGCTCTATCCTCCTCCTGCAGCAGGCCCCTCTCTGGCGAGCTGCACCATCATCCACCACTTCCCCCTGGTGCCGTGTCAGCATCAAGCATGGAAGGCACAGATGGCGAAAAGGTCCCCATGTCCCTCTCCTGTAGCGCGTCCCTCTCTGGCGAGCTGCACCACCATCCCCCTCCACGACCAGCTCTGCCTCAAGAGAGGAGGGCAACAAGGGCGAGTAGGTGCTCCTGGCCCTCTCCTCTCCTCCGGCACGGCACGTCCCTGAGGCGTGCGCGGTAGTCCGTGGGGAAGGCGGTGGAGAGGAAGCGGTGCCAGCAGCCAGCAGACGGTGGGGGAGGCCATGGGGGGCGCGGGGGATGAGAAGGCCGTGGGGAAGAGAAGTGTGCGGTAGTCCATGGGGAAGGCGGTGGAGAGGAAGCGGTGCAGCAGACCAGAAGCAGTAAGGTTTTGAGGAGAAGTAAGGAGTAAACATGGCAGGGCAGCGGCACATGGCACGGCGCGCATGCGCACCATGGGGCAGCTGCACTTAGCGGCTCTTAACGGCTCTTAACGGCTCTTAGAGGCTCTTAACGGCTCTTAACCTTAGTGGGAATATACGCTTATAGCGTATATACGCGTATCGTATATTCGCTAACGTATATACGCTAAACGCTTAAGGGTCGATTTGGTAATACGCTTTTTCGGGCAGGTAAAAAACTATCTCGGGCAGGGTGAAAAAGACGTCGTGCTCAAGATTAAGAAGGTGATCCCTATTCTCATTAAGACTTTCGTAGCATTTCCCTAAGTCTGAACGGCGATTGGGGTGGGACGTGGAGTAGACACTAAAAGGAGAAGTAGGTAGGAATCGGAAGGAGCTCTGCTGTTAGAAAGTGGGAATGCCAACTAGAAATGACGACTGGAATTTTGCTGGCTGGTAAGTAGCGTGAGTGGGGTTTGGTGGGGCACGTTTTTGACAGGTTGGAATTCGTAGATAATATGGGTTCCAATGCGGTACCAATCTAATGTTCAAATTTGAACTGCCTGCAACTTCGAAGGCCCACTCCCGCTTCCCTAGACCGTCAAATTGCATTTCGACTTAGGCGAAATGCTCAGCAGAAGATTCCGCATCTTTCTGTACACAAGCGATTTTTTTCCCTGGGCAGCCCGAAAATTTTTCTGATAGCGTATAGCGTATTAGCTAGCGTATTGCGTTTTGCGTACACACGCTAGCGTGTATACGCTATACGCTTTAGGGTTTGAGCGTATATTCCCACTAAGCTCTTAACGGCTCTTAATGGTTCTTAGAGGCTCTTAACGGCTCTTAACGGCTCTTAACGGCTCTTAGAGGCTCTTAACGGCTCTTAGCGGCTCCTAACGGCTCTTGCACCAGAAGAAGACAACACGCGGCCGCACAGAGATGGGGGGAAAGTGCTGATGAGGAAAAAGAACGGGGGGAGGGGGAGCGGGGGAGGGAGAGGTGGCTCTTAGCGGCTCTTAGCGGCTCTTAGCAGCTCTTAGCAGCTCTTAGCGGCACTTAGCGGCTCGTGCCACCCCCCACCACCACACGTGTTACAGCCGCCCCCCACCGCCACACGTGTTACAGCCGCCCCCCACCGCCACACGTGTTACAGCCGCCCCCCACCGCCACACGTGTTACAGCCGCCCACCACTGCCACTGGAAGCCCAGACTGCCGCCCCACTGCCCTCTGCCGCTCCACTGCCCTCTGCCGCCCCACTGCCCTCTGCCGCCCCACTGCCCTCTGCCGCCCCATTGCCCTCTGCCGCCCCACTGCCCTCTGCCGCCCCACTGCCCTCTGCCACCCCATTGCCCTCTGCCGCCCCTCTGCCCTCTGCCGCCCCACTGCCCTCTGTCGCCCCTCTGCCCTATGTCGCCCCTCTGCCCTCTGTCGCCCCTCTGCCCTCTGTCGCCCCTCTGCCCTGCCCTGTGCTGCGGAGGGCACCAAGGGCCGGATGATGCCTCGTGGCCCTCTGCTCCTCCAGCACGTCTCTTCAACACACTACACCACCACCACTTCCCCCTGGCGCCGTGGCAGCATCATGCATGGACGGCGTGGAGGGCGAGAAGGTGCCCCTATGGCCTTCTCCTCCTTCTCTTGAGCGACGTCCCTCAGGCGATCTGCACCACCACCACTTCCTCTGGTGCCGTGTCAGCATCAAGCATGGAAGGCGCGGAGGGCAAGAAGGAGCCCCTATGGCCCTCTCCTCCTGCAGCACGTCCCTCAGGCGATCATGGGGCAGCGGCTCTTAGCGGCTCTTAGCGGCTCTTAGCGGCTCTTAGCGGCTCTTAGCGGCTCTTAGCGGCTCTTGGCGGCTCTTAGCGGCTCTTTGCGGCTCTTGGCGGCTCTTAGCGGCTCTTAGCGGCTCTTGGCGGCTCTTAGCGGCTCTTAGCGGCTCTTAGCGGCTCTTAGCGGCTCTTGGCGGCTCTTGGCGGCTCTTAGCGGCTCTTAGCGGCTCTTGGCGGCTCTTGGCGGCTCTTAGCGGCTCTTGCGGCTCTTGGCGGCTCTTAGCGGCTCTTAGCGGCTCTTAGCGGCTCTTGGCGGCTCTTAGCGGCTCTTAGCGGCTCTTGGCGGCTCTTAGCGGCTCTTAGCGGCTCTTAGCGGCTCTTGGCGGCTCTTAGCGGCTCTTAGCGGCTCTTAGCGGCTCTTAGCGGCTCTTGGCGGCTCTTGGCGGCTCTTAGCGGCTCGTAGCGGCTCTTGGCGGCTCTTAGCGGCTCTTAGCGGCTCTTGGCGGCTCTTAGCGGCTCTTAGCGGCTCTTGGCGGCTCTTAGCGGCTCTTAGCGGCTCTTAGCGGCTCTTGGCGGCTCTTAGCGGCTCTTAGCGGCTCTTAGCGGCTCTTAGCGGCTCTTGGCGGCTCTTGGCGGCTCTTAGCGGCTCTTAGCGGCTCTTGGCGGCTCTTAGCGGCTCTTGGCGGCTCTTGGCGGCTCTTAGCGGCTCTTGGCGGCTCTTAGCGGCTCTTAGCGGCTCGCTGTAGGGCGTCTTGGCACACGGTGCACGCAGCAAAAGCAGAACACCTGCCCGCACGCTGAGAGGGGAAGGGGAAGTGGGGGAGAGAGGGGGGGGGGGAGGAGTGGGGGAAGGGGCAAGGGGGGCTGTAGGGCGGCATGGCACGGTGCACGCAGCAGAGGCAGAACACGTGGGCCATGCTGAACGGGTTAGGGGGCGGGGGAGAGGTGGGAAGGGAAGTGGGGAGGAGTGGGGAAGGGGAAGATGGAGAAGCGGGTGGGGAGTAAGCATGGCAGCGGCACATGGCACGGAGCACGCACAAGAGGCAGAACACGTGGCCCATGCTGAATGGGGTTAGGGGGGAGAGGAGGGGGGAGTTGGGAAGGGGAGACAGGGTGGTGAGAAGGGAAGCAAAGGCACGCACGTATCCGTGTATGGCTGGACGCGCGAGGCCTCTGCACAGCGGCTAGCACCTCACGGAATAGGCCGTCTCGGCCCCATCCATGTTTCTGTATGGCCCCACCGCATTGTGCCGTAATCCACCGCCTCCGAGGTCGTCTGTACCGCATTGCACCGCACAGAACGTACAGATACCAAAAGAAGTTCAAGCTCTCCCTGGTTCATCAAAACCTAAGGGCGAAAGGATCGCTAGCTCTAAGGCCATAAATGTTACACTTACGTTTCCAGCAACACTTTAGTGAAACGTGGTGTGGTGGTTCCTGCCTGGTGTGGTTTCACTGAGGTGGGGTATGGCTACTTGACACAAGGGGCATGTTAGTGGCGTTTTAAGTCGACTCAAAACACTTTAGTGGAGTGTGGTGTGGTGGTTCCTGCCTGCCTGGCGTGGTTTCATTGAAGTGGGGTATGGCTATTTGACACAGGGGGCAAGTGAGCGGCAGATAAGCAGGCCATTGCTTGCAGAGGAGCAGGGAGCAGGGAACAGGGAGGAGGAAGAAGGGAACAGGGAGGAGGGAGGAGGGAGGAGGCAACAAGCAGCAGGGAGCACGGAGCAGGGAGCAGGGAGGAGGGAACACCAACAGTTGTGCGAGCAGGGAGTTGTGAGGTGACAATGAGGAAACTTGAACATCCCACCGACCTGCATGCGGAGAGGACTGGCAAGGGTGGTCGAGTCTCAACACGGCATGGGATTAGTGCACGTGACAGAATTCACGACACCCGCCTTTTTGGAGTAACTCAATCCGACTTTCCCCGCATCAGTCGATTCGATTTTGATCGTTGAGGAAATGGCGCCAGAAGCGCTCCGTCAAGGTCGGGCTTTGAGAGGATACGTCGAAAGCGCGCAGCTGACGGCAGAAACGCAACGCTGACGACGGGCTTGAAAACCAGATCACGGTACCTAGGACAAAGAAGTCGTGCACTGAGAGGTCAACGGTCGCGGGTCGCACAGGCGGACGGTTCGACCGCTGCAGAACCAGCCGGCCGCAGGCTCTGCATTAATTAGTCTTGTAAATTCTTAGAACTGCGAAAACGTGTCGATATAGTATAATGGTCAGTATCTCCGCGTTCGATCCCCGGCATCGGCGGACGGGATTCCTTTTCGGCTGGTAAACACTCACTATGTTTAGAGGTGCAGCATCTCATGAACCACTTGTTTTTACCACCCCTCGTCTTGTCAGATGTACAGCATTGAATTTCTTGTCAGATCGTTAGATGTACAGCATTGTCCTGCCTACCTTTGTCTTTGTGTTTGGACAAAAGTTGCATCAAATTAGTGATATCGTACCAGCATTACAAACAAAATTCCGAAATCAGGTGCCAGATGTGCAGGAAATCTAGGACATCCTCATTTCAAGCTCCCAGAAATGTAGGTACGTTCTTCCAGAAATTCAAACGCAGTAGTCAGCACTCTGAAACTCATCCCACTCGACCACGCGGGCTGAATAACGTCCAGCATTCTCAGGTAAAATCACTCAACCCGATGCTGCCTTCCCTTCACTGCCAGCCTGAAAGAAAAATAAGCGGCGAGGGATGAATGAGAGGTGAGGCATGAACGAGAGGCTGGTCATGAATGAGAGGTGAGGCATGAACATAAGGTGAGGGATGAACGAGTGGTGAGGGAGTGGATGATTAAGTGTTAGCACCATTGATGATCGTGCAATAAAAACCACGAGTGAGCATGCTTATGCATCATAAAAAAACACAAACGTGCATGGATAGGCACATCAGTAATGAATGGACTGTCTACGAGAGGAGAAACAGTGGGATGGGATAGAAGGGGGGTGAAGGACGGATGGGGAGGGGGGAGGGGGGTGGAGAGGGATTGGGGGGGAGAGAGAGAGAGGGGGAGAGAGAGTCTGAGAGGCAAAGAAAGGAGACAATTTCTTACAGGAGAGCGAGCACGCTCGGGGGACTTGGCGGGAGACTTGGATCGAGAGCGCGAGCGAGAGGGCGACTTGGAACCACTCTTCTTAGGCTGCATGGGAGCAGGGAGGTGGAGGGGGGGTAGGGGGGAGGGAAAGCGGGAGGGTGGTGTAGTTGAGAACCGATGGCAGCGAGGAGGGAGACTTGAACCACTCTTTTTAGGCTGCAGTGGGAGCAGGGAGGTGGAAAGGGGGGGGAGGTGAGGGAGGAGGGGGGTGCAGTCTGGTTGAGAATGGACGAAAGCGAGAGGGCGACTTGGAACCACTCTTCTTAGGCTGCAGAGAGAGGGGTGGGGTGGGGGGGAAGGGGGGGGGGGGGGAGAGGAGGGGGAGGAGGGGGGGGTGAGAAGAGGGGCGATGTGACGAGGGATTCTCGGTCTTGAATTAAGGAACGGGAGGAGCGAGAGGGAGACTTGGAACCACACTTGTTGCGCTGCAGGAAGGGCCGAAGAGACTTTTGATCAGGAGCAAGGAGCACCTCTCTGTAGCCACACTTTGGATCTCAACGTACCGATCGCGAGCGAGACTTGGACTTGGAGCGGAATCAGGCGGGCGAACCAGAAGCAGAGCGAGAGTGCAAGCGAGAACCAGACGAGGTGACATGTGACTTGACGTACCGAGCGCGAGCGCGACTTGGATTTGGAGCGGGATCGGGAGCGTGAACCCGAGGCAAGCGGGAGCGCAAGCAAGAGTGGGAGCGTGAACGGGAGAGGGATCGCTCGCGACGATGAGGTGACATGTGACTTGACGTACCGAGCGCGAGCACGATTTGGACTTGGAGCGAGATCGCGAGCGCGAACCCGAGGCAGAGCGGGAGCGCGAGCGCGAACGGGAACGAGACCGCTCGCGACGACGAGGTGACCGGCTGCGGTCGCGACCCGTCTTGCTCTCCTCACGCACCTGGTGAGAGCAGGCATGAGAAAGGGGTGGAAAGTGAGGTATAGAAAAATAGGTGAAGGGGTGACCTGCTGCGGTCACGACCCGTCTCGCTCTCCTCACGCACCTGATGCGATTAGGCATGCGAGGGAATGGCACGAAAGGTGCGGACCAAGACTTACAACCTGAAACAATGTGCTGGTCTGTTGAATGTTGAAGCACGGGAAGGGCAGGAGGAAGGAGGGTGCAGTGCGGTGCATGTGGATTAGCGAGCATCTGTGTGACGTAGGGGGCTTGTGCAACGAACGAGAGTGGTCGTGTGTATGGTGTTCATTCGAAAAGCATAACAGGTTGGTGGCTAGATTGAATTAATGCAGGTTCCGGACTGGCACAGGACACGAGTAAAAACATTACAGCAGGGAAAAGGAATCTGTGAGATGGCTTAATCAAATAGACGTGGGTTGGAATCTTCCTGAGGTTTTCTTTCACTCAACCACCTCAGAGGGTTATGAACGGAGCTGAAAAGGGCCTGGGAGCGGATTCGGGACTTACACGAATGTAGACGCCGCGGGAGAAGGGGTTTTTGAACTCGGAGTCATCTAGCTTGCGGATCTGATGTGGTGGAGAGAGGTACAGGGGGGTGGGGGGGTGGGGGGAGGTATGTAGGGGGGTGTGGGGTAAGGGGTTAAGGTTTTTAAGCCGGCTGAGAATTAACCTCGTTTGTTACTCAGAGTCGTCTCGTCTAGCTCCCGGACCTGGCGTTGAGGGGTCAGAGGGTAGGGAGGAGAACGAGGGGAGAGCGGAGGGAGGAGGGCGAGGGGAGAGTGGAGGGAGGGGGGAGAGCGGAGGGAGGAGGGAGATTGGAAAGGGGAGGGAGGAGGGGCCGTGAATGCACATGTCAAGGATCGATTGGTGCACGGTTCAACCATCACTCCGGATACTCTCTTGTTTTCCAACTTTGAATTTCACGCCATTATGCTGCCCCGGCCTGCTGCGTAAAGAGTGAACGGCAGATGGAAAAAAGCGCATGGAGGAGAATAATGGGAGGGTGATAGTGAGTGATAGCCCAACTTATCCTCACTTGCCCACATGTGGCTACTCAGTCACCCCATTGCTGTCACGTCCCACCGACCCAAGGTTAAAAAAAACGACCGTTTTTTTGAAAATTTACCGTAAAAAACGGTATCGTAAAATACGGTCGTAAAAAACGGTTGAAAACGGTTCCAGGAGGTGTTTCCTGTTTAACTAACAAAACGGCCACTTAGTGGGACCAAATTGAACCCGAAATGCAGCAGCATGAAGGGGACGGACCCCTTCTTGCATGTATGAGCTTGTTGGCATGCTTGAAAATGTTTTTGGCCTTGTTTTTCTCTTTTTTTTCTTGGTGAACAGAGTTCTCTAACAAAAAAACGACCGTTTTTTTGAGAAATCACCGTAAAAAACGACCGTATAAAGCGGACCGTATTTTACGAAAACCGTAATTTTGAACCTTGCACCGACCCACCCAGCTGCCTGACTGACTTAGTCCCTCCATCAAGTGTTGCCCCATAGCCCAGCTGCCTTACTCACTGCACCCACCCAGCTGCCCGACTCACCCAGTTGCCCGACTCAACCAGCTGCCTGACTCACCCAGCTGCCTGACTCACCCAGCTGCCTGACTCACCCAGCTGCCCGACTCACCCAGCTGCCTGACTCACCCAGCTGCCTGACTCACCCAGCTGCCTGACTCACCCAGCTGCCTGACTCACCCAGCTGCCTGACTCACCCAGCTTCCTGACTCACCGCATATTTCATGTCCTCCTCGTTGCTGTAGTCCACTATGCCCATCATGCCTGTGCGGGGAGAGGGCGGCGGGGAGGGATAGGTGGGTGGGTGGGCGAAGGGTGGGGGGGAGGGAGGGCAGTAGGGAGTGACACATGGGTCGTGAGCAGGATGGAGCAAGGGACAAAGCGAGGTATCATATTTCACTTCATGCACTCCTCGTTGCTGTGAGAGAGAGAGGGATGGACGGAGGGGGGGAGGGAGGGAGGGAGGGAGGGGGGGAGGGAGGGAGGGAGGGAGGGAGGGAGAGAGGGAGGGAGGGGGGGAGGGAGGGGGGGAGGGATGGAGGGAGGGAGGGAGGGAGGGAGGGAGGGAGGGAGGGAGGGAGGGAGGGAGGGAGGGAGGGAGGGAGGGAGGGAGGGGGGGAGGGAGGGGGGGAGGGAGGGGGGGGAGGGAGAGGGAGGGAGGGAGGGAGGGAGGGAGGGGGGGAGGGAGGGAGGGAGGGAGGGAGGGAGGGAGGGAGGGAGGGAGGGAGGGAGGGAGGGAGGGAGTGAGGGAGGGAGGGAGGGAGGGAGGGGGGGAGGGAGGGGGGGAGGGAGGGATGGAGGGAGGGAGGGAGGGAGGGAGGGAGGGAGGGAGGGAGTGAGGGAGGGAGGGAGGGAGGGAGGGAGGGAGGGAGGGAGGGAGGGAGGGAGGGAGGGAGGGAGGGAGGGATGGAGGGAGGGATGGAGGGAGGGAGGGAGGGAGGGATGGAGGGAGGGAGGGAGGGAGGGAGGGAGGGAGGGAGGGAGGGAGGGAGTGAGGGAGTGAGGGAGGGAGGGAGGGAGGGAGGGAGGGAGGGAGGGAGGGAGGGAGGAAGGCAGGCGGGGTGGGGGAGGGAAGGCGAGGGAGGGAGGGAGGCAGGACGGCAGGCAAGCGGGGAGCGGGAGGGAGGGCGAAGGATAGGGCCAGCGGGGAGTTTGAACGCCTTGAAACTCAAGAATGAAAGAAGAGTGATAGGGGAATGGGGAGGAACGGAATGGCCGGAAAATAATGTACCGAGTGCAATGGGAGGAGCGGGAAAGGAGCATGGGAGGAGTGTGGGAGGGCATGCGTGTGTGGTGGCAACGCGTCCAACCTCCACCCTTCCCCCTTCATCCAACATCCTCCCTTCCCCCCTTAACCCAACATCCACCGTTCCCCCCTTCATTCCAACATCCTGACCCACCGTTGCCCACCCACGCGTACAGTTGCCCACCCATGCTTACCGTCCCTCTCCTTGAAGACCTGCGCGAAGCACACGTCGCCCGCCCATGCACGCCCACCGTCGCCCACCCTGCCTACCGCTGCCCACCATTGCCCACCCGTGCTTACCGTCCCTCTCCTTGAAGACCTGCGCGAAGCACACGTCGCCCGCCCGCCGCATGTGGTCCTGCGCACCGGGCACGGGCGGGAGGGGGAAGAGAGAGGGGGGGGTGGGGTGGGGTGGGGGGGAGAGAGGGCGGGTGAATAGCGAGGAAGGCACGAGAGGGGGCAAGCGATGGAGGAGGGGTGGGGGGAGGGGAGGGGGAGAGAGGAATGGAGGGAGAATGGCGAGAATGAAGGAGGAGAAACGCGGGTTTGCAATAAGCAGGACAGGCATGCGAGGGATCCGAGGGGATGCGAGGGGTGCGAGAGCATGCGAGGGCATGCGAGGGCATGCAAGGGCATGCGAGGGCATGCGAGGGCATGCGAGGGCATGCAAGGGCATGCGAGGGCATGCGAGGGCATGCGAGGGCATGCGAGGGCATGCAAGGGCATGTGAGTGCATGTGAGTGCATGTGAGTGCATGTGAGTGCATGTGAGTGCATGTGAGTGCATGTGAGTGCATGTGAGTGCATGTGAGTGCATGTGAGTGCATGTGAGTGCTCACCTTGAGATCTTGCCAGGAAGCGGAGGTGGGGAGATTCTTCACAATGACTGTGGCGGGCAGGGGGCACACAGTACAAGCACGATACAGGCATGCGTTATAAGCACAATACGGGCATGCATTATAAGCACAACATGTTACAACCAAGCACAGTGAACGAAACAAGCGACGGCGAAATAAGGAACGCACAAGCCTGCTTATTCAGAATAAACTCAAAGAGTCCAACTGCATTGACTAGCGAATCAGCCAACGGTAGAGCCTGCAAGTCTGATAACAGAACTCCAAGCAGAGTCACACAACCACCCGACTCACCGCGGTACTCTGTTCGCCGCGACGGTCCGCGCTGGAAGTCCCCCCCCCCCGCCCCCCCCCGAACCCGCCCCCTGCTCCGCGGCCACCGTGCGCGAGCTCCACGCGCAGGCGGTTGCCGTCAAAGTCGTACCCGTCGCGCCCGCGGATGGCGTCCTCCGCGTCCCGGGGGTCCGCGAACTGGGGAAAGGTGGCGAAAGGTGGCGAAGTGTGGCGAAAGGGAGATGCGCGGCAGGGTTACACGGGAAGAGACGGGAGGGGTGGATAAGGGCAACAGAGGGCAAGAGGGAAGGGAAGGAAGGGGGCGTGACAGGGGAAGAGGAAGCGAGCTCCACGCGCAGACGGTTCCCGTCGAAGTCATACCCGTCCCGCCCGCGGATGGCGTCCTCCGCGTCCCGGGGGTCCGCGAACTGCGGCAAGGTGGCGAAGTGTGGGGAGGAGTGGCGAAAGGGAGATGCGGGACAAAGTTACACGGGGAGAGAAAGAAAGAGATGGGTGTGTAAGGATGAACAGAAGGGGAAAGGGGGAAGGAAAGGGGAAGAAGGGGGGAGGGGGGAGGGGGGAGCGGGGAGGGAGAGGGAGGGAGCGAGTTCCACGCGCAGGCAGTTCCCGTCGAAGTCATACCCGTCCCGCCCGCGGATGGCGTCCTCCGCGTCCCGCGGGTCCGCGAACTGGCGAAGTGTGGCGAACGGGAGATGGTACCGGGGGAGGGGCAGGGTTACGCGGGGCGGGAAAGAAAGGGAGAAATGGAAAAGGGCGGGGGGAGGGAAGCAGGGGGGAGAGGTAGAAGCGCGCGGGCGGGGGAGGTTGGGGGAAGAGAGGGTGACGGGCTGGGGGAAGAGCGGGTTGACTTTATACACACGCGAACAGTTCATCCCACGCTCCCACTCCCGCTCCCACTCCCGCTCCCACTCCCGCTTCCACTCCCACTCCCACTCCCGCTTCCACTCCCACTCCCGCCCCCACTCCCGCTCCAACTTCCGCCCCCACCACTCCCGCTTCCAATCCCCCTCCCGATTCTGCTCCCACCCACGATCCCGCTCACCTCCACGAACGCGAAGCCGGGGGGCCGGGGCGGAAGCTTGAGCTCAATATCGAGGATCTTGCCGTACTGCACACGGTAACGAGAGGCAAACACACGATACGCAAAGATTCAAACGACAACGACAAAGAACGAAACACAAGGGAAAATTACCACGAAAAAATTCCAGACGTGCGCCCAAAAAGGTTAAGACCATGCAACCATGCAACCTGTTGCGAGCATATCGACATATCCCATTTAGAAAAACATCCGGAAACCCCTACTAACAGCCCCACACCTTGGCGAAAAGGTCCTCCACTTCGCTCTCCCGCGTGTCGCCGGGCAGGTTGCCCACATACACCGTACGACGGACCCCAACCATGCAACCCGTTACAAGCATATTCACCCACTCCTGTTATAATAACATCCGACTACACCCGAAAGCTCCGCACCTTGGCGAAAAGGTCCTCGACTTCGCTCTCGCGCGTGTCGCCGGGCAGGTTGCCCACATACACCGTGCGGTGCGACCGCCCGCTCATGCTGCTCGACATGCACGGTCGATCCGACGGTCGTCGGTGGCACCAAGGATTCCGGTCAGATCTGAGTCGGAAGGTAGTGAATGGAACGATACACGCGGTAGAAGGGGCGAAAGAGGGTAAGGGAAAGGTTAGAGAAGCTCAAATCTCGCAAAGACAGGACGAAGCATTTCGGGTAGAGTCGGGCACGAAACACAAGACTCCTAACGTCCTCACACGTATTCGCGACCTCGGATACTTTTGCAAGGCCCTTATATCCTCACAAATACTAGCTATCTCAGATTTTACTTGCTATCTGAGATCTTGGTAAACGACTCTTACACTACACCTCCACGGCACCAGATCTCATTTACGACCTCGAGTGTTAAGGCGAGACACACGCTACGTCGTCTCGCTGCTGGGCACAGACGCGCGCTGCTTCTCCCCTTGCGGCTACCCCTGTTTAAAAAACTCAGGCTTTCGTCACAGATCTATACGCAACACGACGTCGGACAACACACAAGCTATTTCCGCTTGCTTCGCTTTCCAAGCTCTGATCGACGTACGCTAGACAACCGAACTGCATTGAATAGTGCATCTCTTGCCCTAACGAAAGTAAGATGCTCGTCCGGGGAGGGGAGTAGCAAGGGAGGGTTCAGACCGCATGGAAGACGGCTCGAAGGCCCCCTCCTTATTGCTCCCTCCTTAAGCTCCCTCCATATAAGATCCAATGCTCCCTCCATATAAGGTCCAATGCTCCCTCCATATAAGGTCCAATGCTCCCTCCATATAAGGTCCAAGGCTCCCTCCATGTAAGGTCCAATGCTCCCTCCATATAAGATCCAACGCTCCCTCCGCATAAGGTGCAAGGCTCCCTTCCGGTATAGTCCAAAGCCCTCCACTAGCCGTCCATCTGAACCAGATCGACGGCGTGCGTGACATATTGCAAACACAAACCGTCCTTCCCGCCCTCCCTCATAACTAGATAGAGCAAGAACAGGGAGTTGACTATCATGCATCAGAACGTGCAAGGAAGAGAGAACATGACCAACAGCACTATTTTTTGCGTAAAAAAGCGGGAAGGCGAATAGACAAAAAACATGTCATGAAATCAACCCATCGACACTTTCCTCATAAATCTAATCAGTGAGAAGACGAAAAATCACCTGAAAAAACTACAACCGTGAAGATTCTGACTTGCGAGTCTCGGCACGTTTAGTCGGGATGCTCGGACGCACTGAACCCGCTGTGCAAGCGTGACACGGAGACACTACTCCGTAAGGCTGACAACTAACTAGGGACACCAAACAAGAACTAGGGTTTGGGCAGGGGAGGTTGAGCAGAAAAGCTTCCCGCTTGCGGCACGGAGGGAGTGGTTGAAGGAGGGCGTCTTTCGCACAAGATCTAGTTCTCGCCTCCCTCCAGTTTCACCCTCGCTTCTTTTCGCACCAACAATATCTATTTCGCGCTGTACGTTTGGGGGCTGTTTGATTTTTCGAGCTCAGGCGAACACTTTTCGCATGTGCGAATACAAAAACGACGAGTAGTTGGTTGGCGACAGTCAGAAACCTGTAACCAACATATTACAAGAGAATTTTTATGGGGGTGGCGGACGCGGAATCACTGATAGTTGGGTTGGGCGCGAAGCTGAAACCCTCCACAGTAAAACCGTCTCACAGTATTGTACTTGCATAGAGCGTAGTATCGCAGCTTCGGCATCTGAAAAAGATCCAAGTGCGCGCGAAGAGAGTAGCATGTCCATTTGGTGCGCCTCTCATTCACCTGAGAGACTTGCGAGCTTCACGCGACGACTAGGAAAATGAGGACGGTAACGCGGCTGCCTTCGCACCTCCCCGCGCCTCCCCGCGCCTCCCCGCGCCTCTCCGCGCCTCCCTGCGCACTCTAGCTCGTAGCCACCAGGTGACTTTTGAGTCGACTCAAAAGTCGCCGCGCCTCAACGCGCCTCCCCGCGCACTCTCGCTCGTCGCCACCAGCCTTGCACTCTTGAGGCGCCTCAAAACTTTTGAGACGACTTTTGAGGCGCCTCATAACGCGCCTCCCCGTTCACTCTAGCTCGTCACCACCAGCCAGCCTTCCACTCCCACTACCTTTCCTCGCCCATCTCACATACTGCTCTCCTGGACAAGTCACTTTCGGCGCACCCGCCCTCTCACGTTCGGGAATCGGCCATTTATCCTCCCGGGACAGTCGCCAGTCTTACAATCGTCGCGCCCGTCTTCTCACACACCCCGCCCTCTTCCTTCTCATGGCAAATGTTTGCCCTCAGTTTCTCCTCGGATCACTCTCAGTCCGTTCAATCAGTTCCCCCACCTGCTTCCGCTCCTTTTCCCCCCCTGCTTCCATTCGTTTTCCCCCCTGCTCCCCCTCATTTCCATCCCTCCTTCCTCTCGTTTTCCCGCCTGCTTCCCCTCGTTTCCCGCCCTGCTTCCCCTCATCCCCCCCCCTCTACTTCCGCTCATTTCCCCCCTGCTTCCCCTCGTTTCCCCCCCTTCTCTCCCTCATTTCCCCCCCTGCTTCCCCTCATTTTTGCCCTCCTTCCCCTCGTTTCCCCCTTCCCCTCGTTTCCCCCTTCCCCTCATTTCTTCCCTCTGCCTATCTTTCCCCCCTTCCCTGTCTCCTCCATTCCCACTCCCTCTTCCTATCTGCTCCCGTGTCTTTCTCCCCTCTTCCCTGTCTCCTCTCCCTCTTCCCTGTCTCCTCTCCCTCTCCCCTCTCTTCCTATCTCCTCCCTTCCCTCTCCCCCCTCTTCCCTGTCTCCCATCTTTCCTATCTCCCTCTTCCCTGTATGTTTCCATCCCATTTCCCCCCTTCTATCCCCGCTTCACTTCATGTTGTGCCATCACAGCCTATGCTTCAACCACAACCTTTTTCTTGTTCTCTTCCAGCCCCCTCCCCCCGTTGTACCATTCTCTCCCTCGCTGGTTATTTCAGTGACTGTGCAGGCATGCTCGTTGAATGACAAACCAGCTCAATAACCTTATTTTTCCAGGGCCTAATGTTGAAAGGTTCAACAATAGTGTCCCCTTTTGCCTCTGCCTGCTTCTACTACCCTAAGTCAGCCAGAGATGCCTTGTTCAGACCTATGCGTGACATGACACCCTTACCGGGTATAAATCTTGGAAGGATCTCCAATACAGTGCACACTTTTTCCAAATTATCCTAAAGTTTTACTTTTGAGTCGACTCGCAAGTCACCTCTGTGTGGAACCAGGGCTGTTTTTATTAGGGTAGTTACCCTGATTTTAGGGTGATTTCAGGCTTTCCACTTTGTGGAGACTGAAATTTCAGAATTAATGATTTCTCAATCCTGATCCAATCAGAGTAATAGATTTCGTATCCCTTATTTTGAGTACAGTGTAACAGACTAGCCTGTTAGTGGACCCTGACTTAAGAGAGTATCGACTCTGTGGTACCTGTGTTTGACCTTATCGAGAGGAAGTTTCTTGGAAATTTTCTCCCGATAACCCATCCTTCAGATTGTTCTGAGTACATCTAATACATACGTACAGTAAAAATTTCCGCGGATCCGCGCACGTAAACCAGGCGAGGGGAACGGATTCGGGCGGGACTGGCGCAAAGCGCACCGACAGCCGCGAGAAGGGCTGCCTGCCGCGAGGGTGACCCTTGGGGATCTCGTTCGGGAAAACTTTTTCCTCGCCCCGACGGCCCTAGGGAATACCTACGGGTTACCGAACGGATTACTGGCCGTTGACATCCCGAGGGAACCCCAAGGGGAACCTTACTTCCTCCATCGCGAGCCACGTGTCGCCCACCCGTGCATCGTACAAGGACACGCGGCGAGCTTGAATTAGAGGCGAAATAGTTATGCGATTTCGCAGCAGCATCCGGGCGACGATGTCTTCGCGCGAAAAAAATGGGTGGAAAGCCACCGAGTTGGATGGAAGCCAGGGCCACAATACCCGTTCGTGCTAGTTGTCGTTCTGACAGCGATGGCCATGTGCCAAAGCACAGCATGAAGCGGGCCCAAAGTGATCCAACGGCTGGACCGCGCGCAACGCGAAAATTGCAGCGGCGGGAAGGTACCGTATTCCCCCGGATATAACACCCTAGGGTGTTACCATAAGCCCCCGGATAGAAGCGCAGACCTCGGATAAGCGCCGGCGCTTATAAAAGGATGAGGGCGCTTATATCCGGTCCTCGATTATAAGCGCACCCCCTAGAAAAAGATGATATATTATAAGCGCATGTTTGATTTTCATTTGAAAACCTGTCAAATTTCAGAAACGAATTTCACATTATCAGGGAAACGAACTACAATTTCGATTTCCCACACTCTGATCTCCTTTTTTGCTCGTCTAGTCAGCATGTGCTGTAATTCTGTCAGTGTGAGCTGGCAGGGAATCACTCCCTGCCAAGCTGCGCGAGAATCAGATTCGCGACCCTATATGTTCTCGACTCGATTACAATCGGCAGAACGAGATATACAGTTTGGTGTAAAACAAATATATATTCTTTTTGCCATTTTATAAGCGCCGTCGCTTATAGAATTCCTCAATTATAAGCACACCCCCTAAAAAACAGTGTTTTTTTATTCCCCCAGGGGCGCTTCTATCCGGGGGCTGACGGTATGTAAATCCCCTTGTAAAATGAGGGGAGGGTCTTAAAACCGGGGTGCACATTCAGCTGAATGTGCATCAAAGGTTATCCCTTGACTGAGTGGGTTACGAGGTGTGCTTTCAACCCCTTCAAGTCGAAATTCGTTTCCCCCCTCCCCCGCAATTTCGTTTCCCCACGCCCCCGCAATTTCATTTCCCCCTCCCCGTCGAAATTCGTTTCCCCCCTCCCCCGCAATTTTGTTTCCCCCCTCCCCCGCAATTTCGTTTCCCCCCCCTCCCGCCAATCTGTTTCATCCCTCCCGCCATTCGGTTTCACCCACTCCCGCCATTTCACCCCCTCCCGCCACCTACGAAATGCCCGAAGCTCTAGCGGAATCATTTTTTTGTCGCCCCTCGTGAGCCAATCACTGTTTTTCTCCAAACCCCCTTCCCAACATCTCAAGCCGAACCGCGTTGAATGTGCACCCTGGTTTTAAAAGGAAAAAAACATATACTACCCGGGTGTTTTCTTATGACACAATTGTTTTTTAGTGTTTTGAACACAACTGTTAATACTGAACTTGCTGGTCTGCTTTTGGCGAGCAACAAGAGAGCGGATCGTTGTTCACTTGGAATGACACTTGACCACTCACAGCGTTGCCGAAAACCCTCGACCAGTCACAACGCTTTCGCCTCTGACAGCTAAATCCCCCCTCTCACACAACAAATTCGCCCTCTGACGTAGCAAATTCGCCCCCTGACGCAACGAATTTCGCCCCCCTGACACAGCAAATTCGCCCCCTGGCGCAGCAGATTCACCCCCTGTCTCTGCGAATTCACCTCCAAACAATCCAATACGCATCATAACATGTTTCAATTTAAATTGTTAATTAAAAATCCACATGGAAAACCCCCTATAGAGGAAGGGGGGGGGGGTCTTATATTGTTCACCCCTCAAAAGGGAGGTATAACGATTCCGAGGCTTAATAAACACCCCCCCCCCCCGTATTTGTGAAAATGAAGAACGAGAATGGGTGAACTATGAAATGAAGTGAGTACAAATAGGAAACCCTAATTGGGTTGTACCCCTTATGGGATACCCCACTATAGCCTACACAACAGCATAAGCTATATAATGTTCTGACACACCCCCATAGGCAAAGTGGGGGAGAACAAGGGGTCACAAGACCAGTCAAGCAAAGCAGAGCAAGCTCAGGGTGGATCACAAAGTCACCACACAGTCCGAGCACAACGACAAGGCCACAAGGCCAGTTCACATGCAGGAGTACACATATATATATAGAGCTAGACAAGCAAGAGCAGGTATATATATGTAACAGTACAAGCAAGGTCAAGAAGAGAGCAAGTGAGGCAAGACAGGTACAAGACCCAGCTGGGTGCAGAAGCGCTGATGGTCACAAGGCGCAAGTGCCTTGGTGAACACATCAGCAGTGTTGGCCTCAGAGGCCACGTAAGCAAGTCGCAACTGACCACGCTGCTGCAGCTCACGAGCAAGAAAGTAACGGAGAGCAATGTGCTTCGTTCTGTGCTCCAAGCGTTGCTCTCGACACAAGGCCAGCATGGCCTTGTTGTCTACGTACAGCACTGGAGGAGAACGAGGCGGCTCTCCAAGGTCAGTCAGCAAGTAGGTGAGCCAGCGAAGCTCCTGTGCAGCCATGGCCCCGGCGTAGATCTCAGCCTCACAACTGGAGCTGAGAACAGAGGACGAGCGAGTAGCCCGCCACGAGACAGAGCCGGAACCAAGACTGAAGGTGTAACCCTGCGACGACCGCTGTGTAGCCTGGTCGTCTGCCCAAGAAGCGTCCGCGTGCCCAGTGAGGACCACTGGACTCCGCCCTCCAAGCACTAGCCCCATGCCCGACGTACTGCACAAGTAGCGCAACACCCTCTTAGCTGCAGCCATGTGCTCTGGTCGGTGTCTCCCAGGAGCAACATAGCGTGCAAGAATGCTAAGAGGGTATGCAAGGTCAGGTCGTGTGCAGGTCATCAGGTACATGAGGCAGCCAACAAGCTCTGGGTACGGGCCACTCGACTCTACGGACTCATCCGAAGGCAGAGCTGAGAGCGAGTGGCGAGTAGACAGAGGAGTGGCCTGAGGCGAGGAGTACGTGAAGCCGAAGCGCTGAAGGACCTGCTGCACCATGTGTGACTGAGTCAAGGTAATGGTGCGGCGTGCTCTGTCCCGAGTGATCTGCAAGCCAAGGTAGCTGCGCAGTTCACCCAGGTCTGTGCACGTGTGTCTCGTCTGCAGCTCGGACTTCACGTAGGCTAGTCCAGCAGTGTCAGCTGTGGCAAAGACCAAGTCGTCGACGTACACGAGGACGTAGAACGGCGGCAAAGAAGTGTCGGTGCGCAGAAACAACGACGGGTCAGCAGTAGAGGGAGCAAACCCAAGAGCCGCAAGCGTAGTCCTCAGTGTGTCGTGCCACTCACGCGGTGCCTGGCGGAGACCGTAGACTGGCCGTCGGAGGCTCCACTGGGTGCCAGGAGGAAAAGTCCCAGTGAAGCCAGGTGGACGGCGCAGCCAGATCTCCTCGTGCAGGCTACCCTGCAAGAAAGCAGTACTGAAGTCAAGAGAGTGGAGCTCGTAGTCGCGCTGAGCGGCTATGTGCAGCAGCACCCGAAGAGTGGTCATCTTCGGGGTGGGAGAGAAGGTCTGAAAGTAATCAACTCCCTGCCGCTGACTGAAGCCACGAGCGACGTACCGCGCCTTGAAGACAGGTGGAGAGCCCGGCGGCCGCTTCACCCTGAAGATCCACATGCCACTGACGATGTTCGCCCCAGGAGGGGGAACCGCGTCAACGTAGGTGCCTGTGGACTTCCAGGACGCCATCTCTGCATCCATAGCTGCCTGCCACTGAGAGGAGTAGGGACCCTCTACGGCCTCCGCGTAAGAGCGCGGAGTCGGGATGTCTAGTGCATCCGGGTCTCCCTCAGGGGCAAGTAGTACGGACGCGAGATGAGGTGAAGCAGCAGCCAGACACCGGAACTCCTCCTGCCTGTCCTCAAGGACGTCCGTGCCAAGAGCACACTCACCCCCGACGGACGGAGGACAGACAGACGCAGACTCAGCAACAAGACCGGCAGCGTAGTCTAGACGACAGCAAGCAGCAAAGTCGACGAGCTCAGCAACAAGTGCAGACGCAGCAGTGGACTCAAAAGAGGGGTCAGTGACGACAGTAGCAAGGAGACGTGTGACAGCAGGACTGGCAGCACGAAGAGAGTCCGACTCCGGGTCAGGAAGAGCAAGAAGAGAGGACTCAGGAGGAGAAGGCAAAGGGGCACGCAGAGGAGCAGTGGACGGACGCAGAGACATCCGGTGCGTGCCAGGGACAGGAGGAGGATGCTGACGCGAACCACGACCACTAGTGCGAGCAGCACGG